AGGTTTAATTGATTCAAGGAAATCTCGACGAATAAACACTATATAGGATGTTTTATGTATTTATAGGTACATGTAAATATGTGTATCATTTTTCTCTTAAGAAAATACACTCATATTTTCTTGTCACACTTCAATTACGTTAGTCAGATAGAATAATAATAAAAGATAGTTATCTACCATCATAAACATTATTTGTATTACTTATTATTATGGAGTGTCTGATAACACATGTTGTCAAAATCTTCCTTTTGACGTAGGTAAACTGTGTTAGAGCACTCCATCAAACGATTTATTTACACATATTATTAATTAATCAATACATTTTGAAGTTGAATTTTTTTTTTGCATAATTATAATATTGCAACAGCATTGTTGTTTTCTGTGTATTTTTCTACAATTTTTCCCTGTTATCTGTTAAGTATACAATATTATGTACTAATAGTTTAACGAATACAAAAAATGTAAGTAAAATAACACGGTTATATTATGTAAAATAAGCGGATACAATATATCAAGAAAATACTTCAAATATATCGTACTGTTAAAGATTTTTAAAATTTAAATAAATAATATCGATATAATATATGCAATAATAATAATATAGTAGGTATGATATGATTCATAAAAAGATTGATATACGCGATGTCTACAGTGGCGGAAGAAAATAGAGGAATATTGATAAAAAAACCAATACGTAAGTAAATTTCTATTGTAGTTACTTATACGAACAGAAAAATAAACAACTTTATAATTGGAAATCTAAGGAATTTGCTCTGCTGTATAGTAGGTGAGGAGTGCACTTGGCCACACTGAGTATAGGTAACTGCTCACAGCTGCAATAAAAAGTTTAATTTGAATCAATTAATTATTAATTATTATAYATCGTATACGAACAATGTTTCTAAGTGGTTTGTCCGCTTACTTATATATTTCTGAGAATATGTTATTGCATATTTGTATTTAAATATAGCCAATAAGTAAAAACATTGATTATAGAATAGTCTATTCCATAAACAATTTTAATACGCGCGGCATGTTTAATTTCATTTTAAAAAAATCGCGAATATTATTCAATGAAACCTCCCTTAAAGAACACTTCTAATAGAGGTTGACCCCAAATAGTTTTTTTGGTAAGAAACTACAAAACTTCAGAAACTTCTACTATCTGATCGATCTGCGGACATCTCCAAATAGCGGAAACAATTCCAATGACAGAGTGTTGGATGTTTAAAGATATRAATGTAGTAATAATTTATAATTTAATTTCATGTGACACTACTTATTGTCAATATACCGATGTAGCGTACAAACGGTGTAAATATCTTTAATATTAATCTAAATATTTTGAAAATTTCATTGTGAATAATAAATAATAATATAGAAAAGTTATATAGTCCCTACGAATAAAATTTGTTTAAATATAATACTTGTCGTTATTTATATTATATGTATCCAATGTTATCATAAGTTGAATTTGATATGTCTATTATAAAAAAAATTGTACGGGTATTTTGTGAGTAATTGAAAATTGAATTGGTAAATGTTGCACACTTTTCTGATTTCATGATTTTTGTCGATCCGCTCAGAATCTAAAAGAAGTTGAACACCATAAAATCAAAATCGATCAAGTGTTCGATGAAAATGTTATTTATAATAATGGTAAACTCGTATAAAACACGTATATAATATATACACATGCATATATATTATTTTATATACCTAGTTGTTTATAAGCATGTGTAGTWTTCAAATACTATTTAATACAAATACGACTTTCAAATTACGTCGTTGATTTTTCGGCTAGGTATCACCATAATATGCGTAAATCATGKTATGCTTATGAAAATAATATTATGTACCGCACTACTTCAACGGATAGAATTATACGGCTCTATAAACGTARGTATATACAGCTCGACGTAATATAAATTTTAATATGCTGTTTCAAATTTGAAGTGCTCATAAAAATATAAGCTCATACATTTTTGAAACAATTAATGTAAAACAAACAGTATATAATATCAAATATTATGTAGGTATTGTAAGTATCGTCGTGATTGGGTAAAATTAATGTGCGTTAGGTTAGGTTAGATTAGGTAAAATTAATGCGCGTCTTTCAAATTTTCACGTGTTAAATTTTTTCAATAATCTCGTTTGATTTGTGTTGTATATAGAAGGTACTATATCCACCATAAACTTCTATGACATAAATCTGAACGTTACGATTTACAATTATTGTAACAGAACAACTTTATAATAGACAGATACCTGTATATTATATAAATAGTTAAACTTAAATTTCTAACGCATATGCTGTCTT